AGTGTATTAGTAGTTCGTATGCTACACTCTAAGAAAAGTCTGTAATATATATTAACATGCAGGAATTTTCCGTAATTATTACTCACACGTTTTTTTACCTACATTTTAAATTACGCATTGTATTTTGCGTTTTCGGGTTACAATGGATAACGGATAATGTCCTGGAAAATTACTACCTTTTTCATTTTTCTAGATATTTTTCTTACCGTGCACTAACTGATCAACAAACTCAAGTACAAGCTACTAACAAGGTGTATCATAAATTAACAATTATTATTATTAAATTAAACAATTGCTAATAGCAGCCAACTTAATGTGAATTGTGTACTGCTAGGCACCTTTGGTTTCCAATTTTCGTGTAATCTAGATGGAAAATGTGTGCCTTTTTATCGTTTGAGTCACTTATCAAAAGTTGCTAAATGTTGCCAAATAAATACAAAAAAAAGCTAAATTTGTTGCTAGGTGCTTTTGGAAGAAAAAGTTGCTAAATCTAGCAACAAAATGCCTAAGTTGGCAACTCTGCACATAACTACAATTCGATATATCGGCTTTAAGGTAAGTATTAGCTATTAGCAAAACACTACAGGAATCGAAAAGTACTTGTATTTCACATGTAACGGAAAACGGGTTAAACTAATCATTGCCTCTATCGCCCCGCCCATTTCCCTACTGTCCGCCAATGGCGCTCTCGTCGAGCTTGACAGACATCCGCGGTGGCCAATAGAAACGCGCGGTTGGCAGACAAGGGTCGTTCTTCAGAAGTTGATGATGGTCTGCTGACCGGACGAGAAGTGATCGGTGGAGTTTCTCCGGGGTTTGTAGCGTCTGCGAGAAGCTGGTCATGGGGAACCGCGGGATGGAGGAGCTGATCCCCCTCATTAATAAGCTGCAGGACGCGTTCAGCTGCATCGGCCAGAGCTGCCACCTGGAGCTGCCGCAGATCGCGGTGGTGGGCGGCCAGAGCGCCGGCAAGAGCTCGGTGCTGGAGAACTTCGTGGGCAGGTCACAGCGGCTCTCCTAACAACACCGCACTAGTGCAACACGAACTACTCATTTAAGTTCGTTCAGATAGTTAATTCAAGTTTAACTGTGTGTAGATGAATTCGAAACCGTCCGCCATACGATCAGAAAGTCACTGCTGGTCAACCGCTAACCGTCTGCTGAAGTGTTGACGTGTTCTTAAAGGCATAGTGCGCTCAAAAAGCAACACTAGATGGCTATTTATTCACCTCCGTGTCCTTACAAACCTGTTTTGTGTCTAGGCAACGCAAGTTAATGCAGATTTAGTTTTTCATACAGCTGTGTTGGGGAACGTTACTTTTAAAAGTATTGCGTTACAATATCGCGTTACTCTCTAAAAAGTAGCGGATTGGGTCTGAAAAATAGTAAATGCTATAGTGTTTTTGAACCATATTGTAGTATTAACTATAGTGAACTGATAGACTATTAATAAATACTGTAGTATGCTTTAGTTTTTACTCCAGTAAACTAGTGTGTTGTAGTATAATATACCCTATAGTTGTAGAAAACCTAGTACAGTAATTAGTTTATATTACTATGGTTGTTATATTATCACAGCAACTACAGAGTTACCACAACACTTTAATTCAAGTGCTTTACTATAGTAAAACACTATAAATCACTATGATATTTTTTTTATGTGAGTCTTAGTTACTTTTTATGGAAACGTAATGCGTTGTGTTACTTTTGCTAACATTTTCTCATCTGGGCTGGTCTTGCTTGTTTGTTTTGTAAATGTAAAAACTAAAAGTAAACTTTTTGGTGAATACCGGGGAAGTCTAGAGATACGGTAACATCATGTTCACACAACGTAATTGGCGTAACTTATTTGAAAAAGTAACACAGACTTTCTTGTAAATTGAAAAGTAATGGTTTACTAGTTACTTTAAAAAAGTAATCTGATTGCATAACTTGTATTACTTGTAATACACCGGTGACCCATATGCCAAACTCCAATAGCCCCATGAATGAGTCATAACTTGACCCAGTTTATGGGGAAATAACCGCTTCCTTTATCCTCCAGAGGCTCAAATGAGAGTGTTTTTTGTTTCTGAGCGATTCTCTCTGAACAGACCTCATGTAACCGAGATGGAGATCTCAGCATGTGCTGACTTGACATCTTCAGGTTTCCTGCTAAAGCTACAGGAAGAGCAACACACACACACACATATATATATATATATATATATTAGGGCTGTCCTCGACTAAGTATTTTTCTGGTCGACTAGTAATCGTTCATTTGAAGCATTAGTCGACTAATCGCACACTTATTAATAAGCCATTTAAATCATTATAATAAGACTTTAATTGCCTACATAGCCTAATAAGCACTCAAGCGCACACATAAAGCTTGCTACAGCACACCGGCAGAAGTAATGATTATTAATGTGTCAGTGAAAAACAGTAAGGAGGCGGCATTAACATTTTAATAATTTGATAAACTAGTGCTTTCTTTGTTTTCGGCTTCAGAGATACAGTCGGCGACACCGCCTCGTCATCTCCGCAGTCGTGATGCACCTGTGTGCGTGTTTCACACGGATTACGTAATCTGACAATTTGTTTTGCATTTGAATAGATATAGATATATTTTTAACGTCTGTAAGGCAAAGAGATACACGGAGTATATAGTTCACAGAGACCGAGACGGCAGAAAGCGCATCCTGTTTGCTTTCACATAAGCGCGGCATTGTGCTCGCACAAATAAACGGAGAGTCTTTACAGATTCGAAAGATGTATTACATTTAGGCCTATCTGTATGACCAAAAATTACGGAGTATTTCAAGAGCAAGTGAGCGCGCCGGCGCCTCCATCTGTCCTGCAGTGAGCTACTGTTCAGCTTTCACACTCCACACAGACACTTGAACAGCGCGCATTTCTCTAGGTTAACATTAGATTGAGCGGCCATGTAAAGTTGCTAATAGGCTACTTGCATATTTCAGATGATAAGCCATATTTTAGGTCGATGAATGATAGTCGAGCGTTTGGATGTCCTGCCCGATGTACTGTATTGGGTGTCTGCTGTACATTTTATTGTATTTCTTTATTTCTTGTGCATTAAAGTAGCTGGCGTGGCATTAATTCACAAGCAAGCAAAAAGCTGATATTTTCACATACTGTATGACTGTATGAAAATGTTCATGCAGTGAAAATGTCTCTGTGTGTCTGTCGTTCAGGGACTTTCTGCCGAGAGGATCGGGCATCGTCACTCGCAGGCCTCTGATTCTCCAGCTAGTCAACAATAAAGCAGGTAAACACACATTATTTACCTGCTTCTTAACCTCTGATCTCTCCCTCCACATCCGTAGAGCTTTGAAGGTTAAATATTCCTTTAATTCAAGGTTTAGTAATTGGCATTTGGAGGGGCTGATAAAAGATTCACAATATTGTAATAGTAAACATATTTGTATAGAAGAGAGATGTATAACTACTGAAGCAAAATATTTATCGGTCCTTTGGACTTCTGAGCACAGCAGGGTTATTATAGTTAATAAACTTAACCATAAAAAACTAAATAAAATAAAATTGTTACATGAAATAAAACAAGTCTTAACTAAAAAGAAAACCCTAAACACATTTTTTTTTAAATTTTACCTTACGTAAGAAAATAACAAAAACTTAATAATGACTGTATTAAAAATTATATTAAAAGCACACAAAAAAAATTACTAAAACTTTCAAATTGAAATGAAAAGAAAATATAAACACAAAAGCTAATTTAAAATATTAATAAAAAACTATAAAGAGCACAGTAAATGTAGGTCTGTCAAACGTTTGAAAAATGCATTGAGACGAATTATTTAAAAATGTGTTAATTATAAAAATATGATTTGAAATAGTTGTTTTTATCCAAATACAATTTAGACTTTTTTTTTTAATTGAACAAAATATGCATTTGTGTTGACTTATACGCAAATTCGTCATCGCATATTTTTTCATCTTGGATTTGGAACTGAATTAAAAAAAAAAATTATATATATTTTTTTCTTTTAAGATGAAGTAATAAAATAAAATAAATTATCTGAAACAAAAAAAATGCCTCACAATTACTAAAATGTAAAAAATAAAATGAATGCGAAAATTGTAAAAAAAATAAATAAAAACTGATTCAAAATATGAATTAGAACTCTTATATGGTATATGAATGATTCTGAAACAGTCCCTCTCTGTCTGTCTGTAGAGTATGCGGAGTTCCTGCACTGTAAGAGCCGTAAGTTTGTGGACTTTGACGAGGTTCGTCTGGAGATCGAGGCCGAGACGGACCGAATCACCGGATCTAATAAGGGAATCTCTTCGGTACCCATCAACCTGCGCGTTTACTCGCCCAACGGTAACTCAGACCAACAAGCAGCAGCGGTCTCATGAGAGGCCAAACGTGAAGGAAGACTACAGATGTTTGTACTCTCTCTCTCTCTGTCTCAGTGCTGAATCTGACGCTGATCGATCTGCCCGGCATGACGAAGGTGGCGGTGGGAGACCAGCCGGTGGACATCGAGTACCAGATCCGGTAAGAGCTGTTGCTTTGATCAGGTACAGGACCCGAGTGAAACACTGACGGCTCTTCTCTATGTGCCATCAGAGACATGCTGCTGCAGTTCATCTCCAAAGAGAACTGCCTGATCCTGGCTGTCACGCCGGCCAACTCCGACCTCGCCAACTCCGACGCACTGAAGATCAGCAAAGAGGTGGACCCTCAGGGTAAGAGCCATGCACAGAGAACGCTGTGAACAAACTGATGCTAACGGAGTTATCTGGAGTGTTTCATTTCAGAATATTTAAGCGTTTCAGTTGGAAGCTCTTCGAACATTTCTTAAATGTTACTTCTTGTTTCGGAATGTTCAGAGAGCGTTCAAAAGTAACAGTCTCGCAATGTTTGCAAATTATAAAATGGAATGTTTGAATAGCGTTTGAATAAGCTGGAAAAAGTTTTAAAAACATAAAATTATGACGATTAGAGAACATTCAGAAATGATGCTTATTAAAGCCTTTATTGGGAACGTTATGAGTATTTTTGTTAGCTTGGGATGTGATTGAGAAACCAGATGTGCTGTTGACCTTTAACCTTTTGCCCTGCAGGTCTGCGCACCATCGGCGTGATCACCAAACTGGACCTGATGGACGAAGGAACCGACGCCAGAGACATCCTGGAGAACAAGCTGCTTCCCCTGCGCAGAGGTGAAACTCAGATTCAGTTTCAGCAGTTTCATTTCCAAGAAAACATTTCTGATTTTCTTTTAGCTTAACTCAAATAACTAAAACTACAATAAACGTAAATGAATAAATAAAAATGAATAAAAACTATGTAGACCTAAACAACTAGTAATGTTATCTAAAATGAAAATTAAAACAGAAAATACAAACGGTTTTGTTCTCTGGATTGCATGCCAATTTGGCAATTTTTGTTTCCATATGCCACAGAATTTCCTCAGAACTTTAATTTGCATTTTTGTATGGAAGCAGAGCTCACAATGCGCACACACACACACACACACATAATGTGGTGTTAGAGTTGAGTGACACCGGCGGATGAATACTGTGTGTGTGTTTGTAGGTTATATCGGTGTGGTGAACCGCAGTCAGAAGGACATTGACGGCAGGAAGGACATCAAAGTTGCACTCGCTGCTGAGAGGAAGTTCTTTCTGTCCCATCCGGCGTACAGACACATGGCCGAGAGAATGGGCACATCGTACCTGCAGAAAACACTCAACCAGGTACACACACACACACACACACCGTACCTGCTACAGAAAATACAAACGGTTTTGTTCTCTGGATTGCATGCCAATTTGGCAATTTTTGTTTCCATATGCCACAGAATTTCCTCAGAACTTTAATTTGCGTTTTTGTATGGAAGCAGAGCTCACAATGCGCGCACACACACACACACACATAATGTGGTGTTAGAGTTGAGTGACACCGGCGGATGAATACTGTGTGTGTGTTTGTAGGTTATATCGGTGTGGTGAACCGCAGTCAGAAGGACATTGACGGCAGGAAGGACATCAAAGTTGCACTCGCTGCTGAGAGGAAGTTCTTTCTGTCCCATCCGGCGTACAGACACATGGCCGAGAGAATGGGCACATCGTACCTGCAGAAAACACTCAACCAGGTACACACACACACACACACACTTTGTCACATAGGCGTAATGGTTTTTAT